AAAGGGGCCGCCATCCCCCCCCCCCTTCCTGATCCACCAGCATCAGCTCTGAGAGCTACTGCTAGATCACCATCTACCTAATGGGCACCCCCGGTGTAAAGTCTCTATATGAACATCCAGTGTCTGAATTAGGGCCTCCATGGCAGGATAACCAGGAATCATTTCGTGAAAGTTGCAGATTTAAACAAATTTGTAGTCCTCTATAGCCGGCGCTATTCTGCATTGCTGTATAATGTATTGCTGAGATTTGTAGTCCTCTATAGCTAGTGCCATTCTGCATTGATTGCTGTATAATGTATTGCTGAGATTTGTAGTCCTCTATAGCTAGTGCCATTCTGCATTGATTGCTGTATAATGTATTGCTGAGATTTGTAGTCCTCTATAGCTAGTGCCATTCTGCATTGATTGCTGTATAATGTATTGCTGAGATTTGTAGTCCTCTATAGCTAGTGCCATTCTGCATTGATTGCTGTATAATGTATTGCTGAGATTTGTAGTCCTCTATAGCTAGTGCCATTCTGCATTGATTGCTGTATAATGTATTGCTGAGATTTGTAGTCCTCTATAGCTAGTGCCATTCTGCATTGATTGCTGTATAATGTATTGCTGAGATTTGTAGTCCTCTATAGCTAGTGCCATTCTGCATTGATTGCTGTATAATGTATTGCTGAGATTTGTAGTCCTCTATAGCTAGTGCCATTCTGCATTGATTGCTGTATAATGTATTGCTGAGATTTGTAGTCCTCTATAGCTAGTGCCATTCTGCATTGATTGCTGTATAATGTATTGCTGAGATTTGTAGTCCTCTATAGCTAGTGCCATTCTGCATTGATTGCTGTATAATGTATTGCTGAGATTTGTAGTCCTCTATAGCTAGTGCCATTCTGCATTGATTGCTGTATAATGTATTGCTGAGATTTGTAGTCCTCTATAGCTAGTGCCATTCTGCATTGATTGCTGTATAATGTATTGCTGAGATTTGTAGTCCTCTATAGCTAGTGCCATTCTGCATTGATTGCTGTATAATGTATTGCTGAGATTTGTAGTCCTCTATAGCTAGTGCCATTCTGCATTGATTGCTGTATAATGTATTGCTGAGATTTGTAGTCCTCTATAGCTAGTGCCATTCTGCATTGATTGCTGTATAATGTATTGCTGAGATTTGTAGTCCTCTATAGCTAGTGCCATTCTGCATTGATTGCTGTATAATGTATTGCTGAGATTTGTAGTCCTCTATAGCTGGTGCCATTCTGCATTGCTGTATAATGTATTGTTGAGATTTGCAGTCCTCTATAGGTTGTGGTATAATTGTGCATTGCCGTATAATGTATTGCTGAGAGTTGTAGTCCCTTTACAGCTTGGAGACAGTGGCAAAACTACTAGGGTCCACCACTGTCCTGAAATCCTTAGTCTGTATTGTTTTAGAAAATCGGTTCTCGTACTCGGTCTGGAAAAAATGATATCACTGGATCCTTAGTATTTTCTATGTAACTGACCCAAAACACAGATGATGAAAGTCAGAAGTGTATTTTGAAGACTTGTCCCGTCATAGTGAACTCAGATTTCAGGTATTGAAGCCAGAGGATCAGCATTAGTAACCCAAGACCCTCATCAACAGTAAGGATTTTGGGGGAGCTCCATGCAAATATAAATAACATGAGGTCCTCCCAAATAACATACCTTTGAAAAAGGTGGAAGACATCCCTGTCTCCCCCTTCCCAAATCATACCAGGCAACATGCCCTCAACATGGGGAGGGACCTCCCCCCCCCCTTTCCCGCCAAGACATTCCCACATCCGGTCCCCAATAGGATGTGGGGATCTATATACAGTGTATTACAAGTGTACATAGAACCACAAAATGAAATCACAACGTAAATAAACACAGGGGTACACGGTCTCTCATAGCCAATGATAAGACAACACATGGGCACCCCCATCCCAGGCCCACCCACATCAGGAGTACATGGTCCCTCATAGCCTATGATAGCACAGCGCATGGGCACCCCCATCCCAGGCCCACCCACATCAGGAGTACATGGTCCCTCATAGCCTATGATAGCACAGCGCATGGGCACCCCCATCCCAGGCCCACCCACATCAGGAGTACATGGTCCCTCATAGCCTATGATAGCACAGCGCATGGGCACCCCCATCCCAGGCCCACCCACATCAGGAGTACACGGTCTCTCATAGCCAATGATAGCACAGCGCATGGGCACCCCCATCCCAGGCTCACCCACATCAGGAGTACACGGTCTCTCATAGCCAATGATAGCACAGCGCATGGGCACCCCCGTCCCAGGCCCACCCACATCAGGAGTACACGGTCTCTCATAGCCAATGATAGCACAGCGCATGGGCACCCCCGTCCCAGGCCCACCCACATCAGGAGTACACGGTCTCTCATAGCCAATGATAGCACAGCGCATGGGCACCCCCGTCCCAGGCCCACCCACATCAGGAGTACACGGTCTCTCATAGCCTATGATAGCACAGCACGTGGGCAGCCCTGTCCCAGATCCACCTACATCCATCAGGAGTACATGGTCCCTTATTGTCCATGACATAACAGCACAAGGGCACCCCCACCCCCGGCCAAACTACATCAGTAGTACAAGGTCCCTAATAGCCAATGATAAGACAACACATGGGCAGCCCTGTCCCAGACCCACCCACATCAGGAGTACATGGTTCATCATCGCCAATAATAAGACAACACATGGGCACCCCCATCCCAGGCCCACCCACATCAGGAGCACACAGTCCATCATCACCAATGATAACACAGCTCATGGGCACCCCCATCCCAGGCCCACCCACATCAGGAGCACATGGTCCCTCATAGCCAATGATAACACAGCTCATGTTAACATTGGTGATGATGGAACCCCATCCCAGGCCCACCCACATCAGGAGCACACAGTCCATCATCACCAATGATAACACAGCTCATGGGCACCCCCATCCCAGGCCCACCCACATCAGGAGCACATGGTCCCCCATAGCCAATAATAACGGTACATGGGCACCCCCATCCAATTATAACACGTTTGCATGGTGTATAGTTGTGCGACTGACATTCGCAGTGCATACCCGCCACTAGATGGAGCCGAGGAGCATACTATGAACTTTGTTGGCACATCTGGTGAAGTTTCCATACACATCGGATGCCATTTATAGAATAAAAGGAAACAATGATACAACTACTATACTTGGATTCCCCGACTACAAACAATTCACTCGGTGTGAATAGTCAGTAGATGGGGAGGGAGGGAACCCTGTGTCAGATCACATATATATCCCCCCTCCCCCTCCTCCACATTCACCGACACAAAGGGAAGCATTGTGCGCTCTCCGCAGGAAATCTTTGCGCTTCGGCTTTCCGCTAACAATGCGGCTGAGAGATAGCGCAGCCCCAGAGCCCCGGGGCCCATCGATTCCGGCCGCAGCCATTATTTCTCCGTCCGTGGGATCGATACTTCATTACCGGGAGGACTCAATGAAAAGGCGGCCCGGAGTTTCCTCCTTTTATATTCCCCCTTTTGTGTCCGCGACCTTTCCGTCTTATCGGCCCGGAGTTCCTCCTCCGTCTCTTCCTTATCTGTCTCCTTCAAGCGTCCTCTCCATGGCGGCGCATCTTAATCCCCTCCGTGTCTGCCCTCCACGTCCCACCGCCTGCCCGGCTCCGCTACCGATTGGCCGGCTCCGGAACGGATGACTTAGATGGCAATCTGCGCCGCCAATTCCTTATTCTGACTGCAGACGGTTATGCCGGAGAGAGAGAGAGAGGCGGAGGCCGCAAAGGAGGTCTCCTGAGATACAAGGAACCGCAGAGATTCCGGGGACAGGGGACGTTGCTGTCCCACTGGGGAGATTTCACTTCCTGTCCTGCCGACAGAACGCAGGAAGTGAGAAAAGACAGTTGTCACCTGAACGGGTGTCCCCATTGAAAGATTTTTGACGGAGGTCAGATAGAAGACTGAAGGGGAGGACGGAGGTCAGATAGAAGACTGAAGGGGAGGACGGAGGTCAGGTCCAGAGTATATCTAAACCCAAAACCACAAATTTCATATATTGTATCTTACCCGTCCTCAGATGTGGCAGCTGCATTACTTTTGTCTTTATTTTTACCTGGTGATCCTGTTCGTGTGTTAGGGTGACTGCGTTGTCACCACCCCAGGCTGCTCTCCTAATTAGAAACTGCAGAACACCTCCCCTTCTCCTCTTCTCTGTAATATATTTGCGAGGTGTTCTGTAGTCCTCAGATATAGCTGGTAACAGTATACACTATATTACCAAAAGTATTGGGACGCCTTTACACACACATGAACTCTAATGGCATCCCAATCTTATTCATACAATGTATCTGATGCAGCAGCAGGCAGAGGGCACAGGAAGTGATCAGCTCTGGATTTCTGGCGGGATTGTTTTGTTGATCAGATAGAAGAAAACACTTCCGGGGGGATAGAATTGAAGCTCATTGTTGGGGATTTCATATTCTGATCCGCCGATAACAGGAAGTCTCAGTATCAGGGGGAACCTTTCATGGAGAATTTAAAAGAACAGAAAGGGGAGGGGGGGATGTTGGGAACTCACCTGACTTCCTGTTGGCCGGGTGAAGAATCCCTGGAACGTTTGTCCTCCAGATTTAAAGATGATTTCCTGTCTCCGGGAAGATTTGGCTGAAATATTTGTGTCCTGAAGTCAGGAAACAGGAAATTGTAACTACGACACAAATCCTGCACTGCAGCCTCGGAATCAGTGCCGGGGGGGAGACACATTCAAACTTGTGTAGTCACACTTCTCGCTCATCGTTAATGGCGCCTAAGACGTGGTGAGTGAGACGCAGAGAGAGTGCACAGAGAACGCAGAGAGAGGAGGCAGAGAGAGCACAGAGAGACGCACAGAGAACGCAAAGAGGACGCAGAGAGAGCACAGAGAGAACACACAGAAAACGCACAGAGAACATACAGAGAACGCACAGAGAACACGAAGAGAATGCAGAGAGGACGCACAGAGAACACAAAGAGCGCAGAGAGGGTGCAGAGAGAACACACAGAGAGAAGACAAAAGGAACGCACAGGGAACTCAAAGAGGACGCACAGAGAGCGCAGAGAAAACACACAGGGAACACAGAGAGAACACACAGAGAACGCACAGAGAGCGCAGAGAGGACGCACAGAGAGCGCAGAGAAAACACACAGGGAACACACAGAGAACGCACAGAGAGCGCAGAGAGGACACAGAGATAATGTAGAGAGAACATACAGAGAATGTGCAGGGAACGCACAGAGAAGGCACTGGGACGCACAGAGAATGCACAGGGAACGCACAGAGAATGCACAGGTAACGCGCAGAGATTGCACAGGTAACGCGCAGAGATTGCACAGGCAGCGCGCAGGGAACATTCAGAGAACTCACAGGGAACGTTTGAGAACGCACAGGGAACGCACAGGAAACGCACACAGCGTGCAGCTCAAAAAGCAGTGTGAGCTTCATTGCCGCATTTGTTGTGTGCAGGACAATCCATTGCAATGCAGAAATGTAACAAGTGTGACTGAGGCCTAAGGGAGCGAACCCTGACTTCAATAAAGAGGGGGCGAGAGGGGGGACAGGAAGGGGGAGTACAAGTGACAGTGGCGGCACCAGCAGGGAGCCACAAGTCCGGTGTGAATAATGTGCCCGGGTGTGATTCGGGCTCTCACACAGGATTCCAAAACCCGTTGTTCAATCAAAGTTTGGGACTAGGTTGGAATGTGTGAGCGGTCACGTGGTCACACATTTTACAAACGCACTCAACAATTTGTCACCAACTATACCAACTATACTATAAAACTATGTTTTGGGGTCACTAATGTTTTGGGGTTGCTTTGCTGCTTCAGGCGCTGGATGTCTTGGCTGAGTGCACGGCATTATGAAATCTGAAGACTACCAAAGAATTGTGGGGTGCAGTGTAGGGCCCGGTGTCAGAAAGTTGGGTCTCCGTCAGAGGTCACGGGTCTTACAGCGGGACAATGACGCAAAGCCCATAGAAATGGTTTCAGACAAAGCGCTGGAGAGTACTGGACGGCCCGGCAACGAGTCCAGATCTGTAGCCCATAGAGCTCCTGTGGAGGGAAAAGGAATCCTTCCTATCTGAGAGACGAAAGAAGAGCGCTCGCAAATTCCTGCAGAGAGGTGTAAGAGACTCATTGATGGGTTCAGGAAGCCATGGATCCAAGAGCTGGGCTACCAAATATTAATTGAGGGTGCCAATCATTTTGTCCGGTCCATTTGTTTGGAGTTTTGGGTGGAATGCGTCAGGTTTGGCTTTTCTTTTTCTCCACTTTTTTGTGTCACCGATACAAAACCAAAAGAAATAAACATGAGAATGGCGAAAACATTTGTTATTGCAACAATTGTCTGCGGGAAGTGGTGCGTTATGTGACAGAAGCGCAGGGGTGCCAATAGTTTTGGCCATGACGGTATCTACACCATACTGGGTCGGAACTCCAACCGAAGCTATTTTATTTTGATTTACAATATAGGAAGAAGGACTATAAATCCAAATCT